TGCATAGATACACTCATGGCAGTGTGGTTTGCTGCCTTCCTCCCCTTCACCTAAATCTGGCATTTCTCCCCATGCTATTTCTCCCCACCTCCCCACCCCTCGTCCCTCCCCCATTTCCCCCCAATGGACCCCAGTGTGTAGTGCTCCCTTCCCTGTGTCCATGTGTTCTCATTGTTCAACACCCGCCTATGAGTGACAACATGCGGTGTTTGATTTTCTGCTCTGTGTCAGTTTGCTGAGAATGATGGTTTCCAGGTTCATCCATGTCCCACTGCCTCTGACAAGATTGAAGGATGAGGAGAGGGGAACAGGGGGGCTTCTGTTTTTCTTTTTTATTTATTTATTTACTTTAAGTTCTGGGATATGTGTGCAGAATGTACAGGTTTGTTACATAGGTATACATGTACCATTGTGGTTTGCTACACCTATACAACCCATCATCTAGGTTTTAAGCCCCACTTCAAACTATACTACAAGGCTACAGTAACCAAAACAGCATGGTACTGGTACCAAAACAGATATATAGACCAATGGAACAGAACAGAGACCTCAGAAATAACACCACACATCTACAACCATCTGATCTTTGACAAACCTGACAAAAACAAGCAATGGGGAAAGGATTCCCTATTTAATAAATGGTGCTGGGAAAACTGGCTAGCCACACACAGAAAACAGAAACTGGACCCCTTCCTTACACCTTATACAAGAATTAATTCAAGATGGATCAAAGACTTAAATGTAAAACCTAAAGCCATAAAAACCCTAGAAGAAAACCTAGGCGATACCACTCAGGACATAAGCATGGGCAAAGACTTTATGACTTAAACACCAAAAGCAATGGCAACAAAAGCCAAAATTGACAAATGGGATCTAATTAGACTAAAGAGCTTCTACACAGCAAAAGAAACTATCACCAGGGTGGGAGAAAAATTTTGCAATCTATCCATCTGACAAAGGTCTAATAACATCCAGAATCTAAAAGGAACTTAAAAAAATTTGCAAGAAAATAACAACCCCATCAAAAAGTATGCGAAGGAAATACAGTTCTTCATGATAAGCCTTTTACTAATATTTAATTTTTTAAAACTGCACACATAAAAATGTTAAATAAATATTAAACATGTGATTATTTATATAAACATGGGATGGAGAAGGCCTTTTAGAGATGCCTCTGTGAATATCCTTTGTTTTGCCATTCCAGCGTCCACTCCCCTTTCTGTACTCTGAGTTCCCTTCCTCCTCCACTAGCAGTCCATATCATTCAGGGGAATCTTCATTCCTGGCTTTAGCACTGGCTTGTGCCTCAGGCCCAATTCAACCAGTTCAGCCATGGTCTTGGCCCTTGCTCACAGAGGTGTTTTTTCTTCCAGAGATAGGCACAAGGCCCAGTTTGGGCCAGTGAGAGTTACACCAAAGAGCTCTGTAAAAATGTTGAAGGGAAGATATACTTTTATAAGTATGTATGTATACGAATATGTATATAGCTTAATATAAATAAGATATTCATATATCTTATAGTAATATATAGATTTCATTCATTAAAAGCTAATTTAAATTTATATATACAAGAACCATATATAAATTGTTAGATATTATTATTATTAGCAATTAAATTCCTTTTTTCCTTAAGCCAGTTTGGGTTGAGCTTTCTGATACTTGCAAGTAGCAGGATCCTGACGAATTCAACCATGCAAAACAGAAACCAGACAAAACCAACCAATAGATATAAGCAGATATACATAAAACATCAATGAAACATTTTCTTTATCAGTAGAAACAATCTAAAAGTAAACCGAAAAGGAAGAAAGAATAGTTGTAACCCTTAGGATTGATAGTTTTTGCCCTTAGTAATAACAAAATGGAGATGCTACAGAAAATGGGCAAAAATATAAATGCACAGTTCAGGAATAAAAATATAGAAATGCAAGAAAGCTTGCTTTTTAAAAATCAAACAAATGAAATTCATCAGGAACAAATTTTATCCAATGCCGTAACTAAATATTGTTTTAAATTTTATTACCTAGAGTTGGCAAGTGTCTCATGGACTGCTGATGAGAATGTAAATTGGTACTCCTTTCTGGAAGGCAATCTAGCTATAAAAAATTGGCAAACCTTTGACACAATAAGTCTTCCAGGAACTTATCTAAGGAGATAAAGATGTGTGCAAACAATCTCCCTACAAATTTGCTTATTTACTTGTATTTATAAATAGAAACACTGGAAAATGAATATTCAAAAGCTAAGGTATTCAGTATAATCCATATATTCCAATAGTGTTCAACAATTTAAAATATTGATGGAAAATATATACATGTATAGAAGGATGTTCATAATTATGATGTGAAATAAACAGGTTGCCAACCATGTAGTATGAGCCTGTTTTAGTTGCATAAATACTTACATACACACATGGAAAAAGATCTACTCATATACACATCAAATGATAGTAAAATCTCTGGGTGGTAGAATTATGTGTTTCCTAATTTGCTGGAGATTTTTTTCTGCTTATATGTATATTTCAGCCTCGTGGTTTTTTTCTGCTGGCTAATATATTTCAGCCTTTCTCCAATGAATCTTCACTGCCTTTCAATAAGAAAAAAAGTATTTAAAATTCATAAAAAGCCATGTCACCTCTAAAAGTGATTTCAGACATGCAGTTGGAGCCTAAACGTATGCAAGCTTTCAGGTGGCACACAGATGATAAGAAAGTCAAGGGAGTGGACTCTCTTTTAAGAAAATTTGGTTGTAAAGGGTCTCAAGGACATGGATGGTCTATAGCTATTGAGATGAAGAATCTGCTCTGGACAAGAGGAAGAGGCCAAAGGTACAGAAAGAGGGAACCACGGGCGGGGCGGCGGGGGGGAATGTCTAATGGAGCCTCCGACAGTAACACACTGAGCTTTCCGTTCTCCAGCGGCTTCCATTTGGGCTGGGCTGCTTTACCTGAATGCCCACATGCCCCCTTCTCTTCATGCCAAGCATATCCCAATGCTACACAGACTCAGAAAAGGGGGCAGAACTCACCCTGTATCAGAACCTATACTCTCAGCCTCCTAGTGTCTGAACCTCCTACACAAGGTGCGACAGGCACTTTTCATCAGCACTTTTCCCCAGGGAAGAAAATAGGATGCTTGAAGTCCCCAAGAGGGTCTCTTTCCCCCACTCCCATAGAAGACTGACCACCATCCACAACTGCGGTTACAAAGTACGTCTGACCTTGATTGTGAAAAAGTGAGTTTTGACAATTCATAGGACTTGAATTCTCTGTTAAGAGAGACTACATTTTCTTTTCGTTTATTTTGAGCATATTAACAGCTGGTGACCTAGATTAAGAAATAATTCAATATGTGAAAAGGCAGACCATATCACTAAATTCCTTCACAGATGGAAAGTGGATTCAGTGAAAAGCCTCAGACTAAAGAGTTAAATAATTACTTGGAAGGCAAGAGGAGGAGTACCCACAAGGGGATAAAATGAAGTGTGGAGAAAGGATGACAAAACCTGGCCCCGATCCCAAGACCAACAGATCCCTGGCCACTTTCTGCACAAGTAACCAGGGCCTGTTAGGGAGCAGGCAGCCTTGCTAATTCAGCTGCAGAGGGAGCAGCAGGAGGAGGATCACATTAGTTCAGGATAGGCTTGGGTAGATATTAAAAGAAATACAATCCTCTTACTGCAGGGAGAGTGTGCATGTGTGGAGAGAGGGAGTAGAGGCAGCCACCAAGCCTCTGCACTTGGGGACAAAAGGGATCAGTGCCCCATCTGCTCAGCTCCTTGGGGTCAGCCAAGACTGTGAGGCAGCCTGAGATTGGGTCTGAAGAGAGAAATTCATTGCCATCCTGAGCAACATGGCAAATCCGACTTCCAGTAAAACAGGAAAACACTAAACACCCCATATCCTAGGGATGGAAAATACTGCCACATGAGAGAGAACACAGTTCAAGTGATACCAATCCTGGGGCTCATTAGTTGGTGTTGATTTTCAAGTACAATTCTCAAGCTGCAATATAAATGAAATGTTCTTTGCTCGGGGCACAAATGAACACCTTAAGGCCGTCCGATACAGCAGTCACCAGGGAAGCCAGGCAAGCCTGGTGCCCGGTACAACACCCCTCCACCTGCGTGGGGCTGTGCTTGCTATGGACCTGGGTTTCATTCATGCACATCTCGGGGGAAGAAAAATAAATTACTGTGGGCAATTTACTGAGGAACTTGCAAAATAACAGGGAACCCAATCTGTGCAATCGGGATTTTGAAAAATGCAATAAAACGTCCTTTTTTTGGGTGCAGAAATGTGCAGAGAGGAACTATTAGATGCAGGTCATATTTATTTTTGACCTTCTAAAGAAGGACACTGGCGTCCAAAGGGACACAAACATATGGACCAGAAATAAAAGTGTGTGTATCTGGATCTCTGTTTTGAACTCCAGAATTCACGAGACAGCACTGTGTGGTCACGATCTTGTCCTATCGGTCCTGAGAGATTTTTGGTGCTTCTCTGTTAAATCGTTCGTGTCTACTGCACTGAAGTAGCCACAGAATCCCCCCCAGGAAGGACGACTGCCGCAATCTCCCGCCCCGACCTGCGGGCCGCGTCCCCGCGAGCTGCCTGCGGGCGCGCTGGGAGCCGGCCCCGGGAGATGCGGGCGCGGGGAGATGCGCTCTGCTCCGGGCGCAGCGGGCGAGCCGCCGCACCTGCGACTTCCGATGCCTGTCTCGGGGCCGGGAGAGCTGCCACCCCGGGAGGGCTCCGAACTGGATAGGTCCCACGCCTCCTGGGCCGGGGTCTGCGGGTCCCAGACGCTCGGTCCTCCCGACCCGCTCCCCGCGGCGCCGCGGTCGCGCCTTGCTGCAGTCACCGAGCGGAGGGCAGGGCGTCCCTGCGTCCCTGGCCCCGGCCCTGCTCCGCAGCGCGCCGCACCCCGAGGCTCGGGCCCCGCACCGCCGCAGCCGGTGCCCTCCAGCCAAGCCCCCTGCCCCGGCCGCCCGCCGCTGACCTTTTCCTGCGCGCGGTTGAGCCGCTTCTGGACGTTCTTGGCGAAGATGCCCGTCTTGATGTCGGCCATGGCTGCGGGTCCGGGGAGCTGCGAGGAGCAGAGCGCGCAGCGGGGCTGGCAGCGGCGCGGAGGAGCGGGAGGAGGAGAGGGCCGAGCAGGGGAGGAGCGGGAGAGGCGGCGGGGAGCCGCGGAGCGCGCGGAGGGGTGAGGGCGGGGCGCGGCGGCGGGACGGGCTTAAAGCGACAGAGCGGGGGCGGGACGCGTCGGGACTGGCTGTGACTCCGGGAGAAGGGGCGGGGGAAGAAAGGGAAAGAAGCCAAGAAAAAGAGAGGGAAAAGCCAGAAGCCAGATTGTGTCCGCAATGATGGAAGAGTGTCGGGAGGAGGGAAACCAAGCCAAGCAGAAGCCCCTGGGCCCAGAGGCAGTTTGAGGTTCTTTCAACGCGGTTTGCGTTGGGGGGAGAGTGAGAGGCCCTGATTCTTTCCAGCAAAAAAGAAACGGTAGAAAAAACGGGAAGACCCCCGGGAATGTGGAAGCCAGCTAGATTGGGGCTGCTCTGAAGTGGAGGTGATGTGCTGGTCCCTTGCTGCTCTCAAATGTCTCCTGCTAACAGAGCCTCCTCCGTCCGCCCTGGGTGTTGCAGAAGAAGATATGGAGGTCGCCCTACCCGCAGGAGCCTCACAGCCCAGTGAGGGAGCCTGACTGGAAAACCAACCGAGTCAGAGCTGCAGGAGAGAGGCGGGTGGAGAGGAAAGCGGAGAGGAACCATCGCTGACATTTGTTTAAACTTTAAAACAAGAGTCAGCTGCGTGGGGAGGTCCGCGTTGAGAAGGGCCAGCTTCTGGAAAACAGGAGGTGTGTTCTGGCCATCTCCAAAATTCCTGTGCTGGGCAGAAACCTTAGAATAAACTCCTCAAGATATGGTGCATGGAACAGTCAAGTCACTTAAAGTTTCGCATCAACCGTGAAGGACCCAGGCCCCCTAACTTACTGCTTCCTTGGAAACCTTTTGGCAACCTTAACAGGGCCTCGCCATCCCTGTTATTTTTACTTATGCTTGGGAGAAGTACGAATAATAGAGATAAACCTGCCCTATACCCAGAGTTCTTGTTGGCTCTGACCAGTGGTCAAACTATTCGTATTCCATTCTCACTGAGAGTGTGAGGAGAGGAAGTCAGGTAGTACCCTGCAAACAAAGGTCAGAAGTGGGTCATTCACAGTGAATCCTATGAGTCCAGGTGAGCACTCTACTGTATCTCCGGAGGAAACTGTTACATTGGTAGACCTCAGCGAGCTGCCACCTGGTATTCACTCTTGTGTGGTCTGGTAATCCCCTCACCTTGATTCTAGAATGATGCTATGGCCAGCTTTAATCAAGACGTGGTGAAAGTGACACCATGCTAATTCCAGTCCCCACTTAGAAACTAGGCAGGTTTTGCACTCTGGCGATTCCTGTGACACCTTATAGGAAATTCAGCTAATTCAGCTACCTTGCTGCAAAAATAAACTAAAATAAAGTACAGTAAAGTAAAATAACAAGGAGAGACCATGTAGAAAGGGAGAGGTCCTGAGATTACTCAGAGAGCAGCCAAGATGTCCCAGCTGAGCTCATTCTTTAATCAGTTCACTGGCTGGATGCAGCCACACAAGCAACCAAGACCAGCAGAAGAACCACCCAGCTGATCACAGCCAGAGTGCAGAATGGTGAACCAACAAAACAGTTTTTATGAGTCAATCACTTCTATAACGCTCTATTATAAAACAGTAGGAACCAGGAACACCTGCTCTGTGTGCTTGACTCATTTTCCTAGGATAAATATCTGCCCCAGTTTGCTTGGAAATAAAAAATTTCCAAGACACAGGACTTTCAGTGCTAACATTGGGAAGGTTCTGAGCAAATTCAGTTGAGTCCTACTTCTAACACTCTAAGTAAACAGAATTTTACTTCAGAAAGATATATTTTTTAAAACTTCACCATTTAGTCAACGTTCAATGAAAAACAGTATGCTCAGAAACCAGTAATTTGAGTGACCTCCCTCAAACAGGGGCCTTTCGGGCTGTGATGGTTATAATACTGAGTGTCAACTTGATTGGATTGAAGGATACAAAGTTTTGATCCTGGGTGTGTCTATGAGGGTGTTGCCAAAGGAGATTAACATTTGAGTCAGTGGGCTCAGAAAAGCAGACCCATCCTTAATCTGGGTCGGTACAGTCTAATCAGCTGTCAGTGTGACTAGAATATAAAGCAGGCAGAAAAATGTACAAAGAGAGACTGGCCTAGCCTCCCAACCTACATCTTTCTCCTGTGCTGGATACTTCCTGCCCTTGAACATTGGACTCCAAGTTCTTCAGTTTTGGAACTCAGACTGGCTCTCCTTGCTTCCCAGCCTGCAGACTGCCTATTGTGGGACCTGTGATCAAGTGAGTTAATACTTAAAAACTCCCCTTTACATATATATATGTGTGTGTATATATATATATAATATATATACACATGTATAATATATATTTAATACATATGCATTAAAAACTTACATATATATGTAGTAGGACCTGGTGATCATGTGAATTAATACTTAAAAACTCCCATATATGTGTGTGTGTGTGTATATATATATATATATATATATATATATATATATATATAGTCTATCAGTTGTGTCCCTCTAGAGAACCCTAATACAGGGGCTTCAGAACCTTAGCTCCACCTTGGGATCTTGACCCTGAGGATACAAGTCACAGAATGCTGGAAAACACTAGAAGTGTTATAGAGAATATAGTCCATGGTCACTTTTTCACTGTGAATCCCAGAGCCACCTGCACTGGTTTTAGACACAGCTCCCTCTGCAGACATCCCTGCTCTCTGTCAGGCAAAGGACAGGAGTTCCGAGTAGCAGACTTACTTTTTCTCTGCTTCCTTAAATCCCAAGCCCTCAGTAAGAGCCTTTGTCTGTCTTGTAATTATTCCCACCCCACTCAACTACATTCAGCTACCCTGCTGCAAAAATAAAATAAAATAAAGTACAGTAAAGTAAAATAACAAGGAGAGGCCATGTGGAAATGAGGAGGCCCCGAGATTACTCAGAGAGCAGCCAAGATGTCCCAGCTGAGCTCATTCTCCAATCAGTTCACTGGCTGGATGCAGTGTAACGTGGGCGGAAAAGGGAGGCTTGTCATTTCTTGATTATTCTATTTGGAATACAGGCTCAGCATTTTAAAATGTTATGTGCAAACTATTATCAAAACATTTCACTCCAAGAAACCAGTGTCGACTTTCAGGTTGCCAGGTGGCTTATTTTAGCCATTCTGGAATATTGATTAAGCACTTTCGCTGATACTTAGTATCTGTTCTGTAAATACTTGTTGAAAAATGCAAGTATGCATGAGACTAGCTCATGAGCATCCATCATTCCAGACATGATGATGCCTGGAATGCTAGAGGGGAGAGAGGTACCCACTCCTTAAGAACCCCGAGCTAGGACTCATGAATTCTTCCCCAACACCTCTTTAGAAACCTAAACCTGGCATGTTGGATTTGTGCAGATGTTCACAGAGAGGATGAACCTAGCTTGCCAAACCTGATAATGCAGATAAAAGAGACCCCTGAAACATGTGCCAATGTGTAGCTTGGTAGATCTTTATTTATTTCCATTCTTCAATAATGCTACTGAAAGAGAGGTTGGAGGGGAGTGAAGGTTCCAACTACAATGACTTTAAACATTGTTATTCCATACAGCAGAGTCCTTCTTCATACAAAACGTCATGTAGGACCCAAATATATTAAGCAGATGGGCCTCTCTGGTTGCATAAAGTGTTCAGTTCCCAGAGCCCCACCCATTAGGCCACTGTATACTCTAAGGACCTTCTGCAGAACTGTAGCACTGCCCTGCCACAGTAAGGAATCTACAGGACAAGGTGATCTCAGCAGGATCATCTGACTCCGAAGTGGTAGGACCATGTTTTCGTGCATACTTCCTTCATTCTCCAACCATAGGACATGCCCACAATTTCTTGATGGCTTGTACCTCTTCCTAGTATTGGCTATCCATTTTTCTCCCCCTTCAGTCAAGGAAAAATATGATCCATCCAATCCCTGTAGATTTACTGTTAATGAAAACTAACCACAATTCTTTCTAATTTCTGGGACAAGCTTAGACATCAAATTATATTCAATATTTATTTAGGTAGGGTTGAAAAAAAGTACCCCAACACCAACTCCAGATTTTCATCCATGCAAGGCAGAATTCCTGAGTCAATTTTCACTTCTGATTCACCTTCCTTCCTTCTAAGTTGCACTTCAAACTGACTTATAAGTCAAAATGTGAATTATGATGGATTTTGATAATAGACGGAATAGGCCCAAAATTACTACTGTATTATCACAGAACTCATTTTCTACATGTTTTCATGGCACAGAAGTTAATCTCTCCTATCTTTATATTTTGGCAGTCCAATCTAGAGCCTTCAGGGATTCTAGAACCTTGCTAACACTCAGAAGAATTATACTATAACACAATATATAATGTGATTTATATGCTAAAACATATTCCAATTAGCTACAAGATTTTTTTCTCTAATTATTGGGTTCTTTGTATCATTGTATAGATAATCAAGGAGACATTCCATTTAAACATTTTCTGGAACCTAATTGAAATTGGGGTCTCAATCAAATTATGACTACTTGTTATACTTACCTTTTTGTTCAAAGACTCAAATAACTTGTATTTTCTCTCACAAATGTTACTTGAAAATGGTAGTGTAAGTAGGTTGTTTTTCAAAAATATATATTGACTGGATATCTTGTACATTTCAGGTGGAAACCATCAAATACAGACTCAGTCATGGCTTCAAATTAGGCCAAGTACGTACATATTAGTTCCACATATATTTTTACTAAATTGGGTCTGCAAGAATACCCTCTTTCTTTCCTAATTTTACCAGATAGTTTTCTTTTGTCTAAAAATAACAACTTTCTACTACATTAATAATGCATCACTAATGTATCCTGAAATGCTAAATAGGAAGCAAGAGCTTTGTTTTACAAAGAGTCATTGGCCGCTAAAGAAAACAATGACACTGTCTTAAATTGCCTAATAACTTTAAGAAATTTCAATACCATCTTTGATCCTTTTATGCAAAGTAGATGCAAAACAACTCCTATACCCCAAACAAATTGCTTGTGCATCACTTAATAGCTTACAAGCCAACTGAGAGGTCAGGGAGCAAAATAAAACAAATTCTAATTAGCCACAACTCTTTCTGAA